CTTGATGAAATGATCATGTGCCACCAAAAAATTATGGTGTGATAGTATCCATTGCCTCTTGTTCTGCTCCATCGTGAGAAGAACTCCCACTCCCAATCCTTCTTGGTTTCTCAGGTTTACCAAATTTTTTCTTATACTGAATAAATTGTCGTATTTCTCTGTTCGTTTTCAAAATGGCTTTCCATGTTCCCAATAATAATTCAGGTAATCTGAATTCTGGAAGTCAAAGTCATCCTCTTGTATGGGAGTGAGCATTGGCAAGTATGAAGCCCTGTTGTTCCAACGATTTATATGGTTGGCATGCCTCACAACCAAATCCTCACCGACCCTACCCCGCCCATTTAATATGTGGAGAGTGTCATGATTCTCTGGAATTCCTGGAATAGGTTGGTGGAAGCCAAACTGTCTCAACACTCTATCGAAAAATTGGAACTTAACAAATGCGAAATGGATCAATGGTGTAACAGTACACCAATATTGACAACCCTCCCAGACATGTTGCGGTACACACGACATAATTTCTCCATAATCGTACGACCTTCAAATAAACAATAAAACAAAATTATATAGTTATTAATTAATTAAATAATTATAAAATTCAACTAAATAAATAAACAACAATATTATAAACAAAATAAAAATTAAATTCTCTAATTAATTATATATATACCTTAACTTTGCATTTGATGTCCATCTTAAATCTAAATTCTTTCACATTATTGTGTGCCAACCTCGTTCCTTCTATTTTATGCCTCCATTTGTATACCAATCAAAATAAAATTCTCTAATTATTTTTCCTTTACAAAATATTCTTTAATTAATTTAAGATAAAATATTTTAAATCAAAATATTACCTTCCAAAAAGAGGAAAATCAACTGCAGTTTGGCTAATCGGTGTCAACCATGGAATTATGTGCCAGGCCCACTATTGTAATAACATCATACATCCACTGATTTCTGTCGTACACGCATCATTTACAAGTAATGACGCCTTGCACATCTCGCGATACAAGAACGCCAATATTATTGATCCCCAACTATATTGATAGGTATTCAAAAAGTTGCCCAAAAACAGAAGATATTATATATGAACAAGATTACCAGATTTATCTGGCATCTAGACCCTATTAACCGTAACATATATGCTCGAATTGCATATATAATGTCTTTCTCAGTACAATAATGACTGAGCTTAAACTCATTTGCTAACCATGATAATCTCACATGTGACCTTTTTGTTAATGCTTTTTCTGGTACATTCCCAAGGTACTCCCCACATATTTGAAACACGTCCTGATCATTTTTCCCATCACTGTCATTCCATTTGGATACCCCGAGTTGTAAAGCCACATCCTCCAAAGTGATCATACATTTACCACACGGAAGATGAAATGTATGAGTTTCTGGTCTCCACCGTTCAATTAATGCACTGATCAAACCGGGGACCAACCTACATTCTCTTACAAATGTGACATCGTAAAAGCCCACCATTTGCAAATTATCAGGAATACGTTCATTTGGCTTCTCACAAGTTGTAACTCGACAACGAAAGACTCGTTGTTCGTCATCCTGCAATTTGTTAATCCATGTAAATAGAATTAATTCACCGTTCTCAAATAAAATATATTATTCGATCATAATACCAATGCTTCCAAATGACTAGAAATGTGTCGACCATCTAGTCTCAAAAAACATTTTCTTCTGCCATGCTTCTACAAATCTATAAAAAAAAATTAAATATTTCAATAATTAAATAAAATTTAAACAAAAAAATTTGTTAAATCAAAATAAATAGTCTATTTAATTTATATTTACAATATAAAAATAAAACAATAAAATTTAAATTAAACTTACCAAACCACTCAAATATGATTTAATCTGTAAAATCATACCATCAAATTCATAATATATTAGTTTTATACGATTTATAAACGTTATATATTAGTTTTATTTTTCTTAAGTTAATTATTAATAATATAAATATTTATATGTTGTTATATTTTATAAGAGATATTATATTAAATTTTCATGTACTTAGATTTAAGTTTAAATTTCAATCAACAAAATTCAAGAAGTTTTGAGTTTAAATTCTTTTGAGTTCGAAATTAACTTCGGTTTTAAAATTCGATAATTTTGTATTCATGAATTTTCTGTATACCAATCAAACTTAAATTTTCTAATTTTAAATTTAAAATAATACTCAAATTATTATGGTCTCATGAACAAAATTTAAATGTATCAAATGAAAAATATTATAAGGATTTGTGCTAATCATGATAAATGTATCATCCTTTATTATTAAAATCATTATTTAGATTGTTAAAATCTAAAGTTTTGAATCTAAATAACTTAAGAGCACCCTATATATATTTCTAATTTAAGTCTACTAATAATGAATAAGATAATTAATTTTTTTAACAAAAATTATATAATAAAAGTCTAAAATATATAATAATTTAAAATTTTCAGAAATTTATACATCACAAATATTTGAATACTATCAATTTTACCCTCTCCCTAATGGTAATAAAGGTTTTATTATTCTCCTAACATATATGAGCATTCTTTCAACAGGAGAAAAAAGAAATGGAGTTCACATGGAAAACGAGGGAGAACTTACGTGTTTTTGAACAATGTTAAACCAAAACTCGAAAAATTATCAAACCCACAAGAATCTCCAATACCACTGAAGAACCACTTGAAGTAGCTCCAATTGAAATTAATGCTTAAATATTTTCCAAGACACTTGACTTGTTTCCTGTAACTTAAACCCAAATCATGCATGCAATCCCCATCAGAAGCTCCCCTATTTTATAACCAAACTCGGTGCATTATTGGTCTAATAATGACCCCATTATTAGACCCCCTTCCAACGCATGCATACAGCTTTTGCTGCTTCCCACACCATACAACAATAACTTTTGTTACTTTGGTACAGATCGAAATAACGCTGAAGACACTACGTATTCTCGTGGTCTTCTGTATCATATTTTGCCTGAAGACACCGTGTAATCCTAGAGTCTTCCTGGTTAGCTTAAAGACGCCAGAAAATCCTGGAGACTTTAGCCTATTACTGTAGATTTCACCCTAGATGGAGAAATAATCTGGGAAGTGGATTATTTGGGGAATTAAATATTCCAAAATGGATTATTTGGGCACTTTTGTCTGAAAACACCAAAACCCCATATTTCCCCTTATTTTTCTATCAAACCCTTTTTTCTTATTTGTTCTTCACCCAAACTCCATTTAATCTCTATAAGCACCCAAACATTCAAGATTTCGTATTTGTAAAGATCAAAAGCCTAAAAACTTCAAGAACAATCAAATGTTCTTTATTTTTCCCATCTTTCGATTGACACAAACACTAAACCTCCTCCCTAATTTTATTTTTTAAGATCAAAACCACTTAATACCCCAAAGTTCTTCATGTTATTCATTTGAAAATCCCTCTTCAATCCAAAAAAATACCTAGATACCAATTATTTTATTTTTTTTTTGAATCAAAATACCCAAAACCCAAGAACATCTTAAGAGTCTTAAATGTTCTTTCTTCTAACACCTAGATCTATAGGCGAACCCTTTAGGATTCCCCTGACTTCTCCCAACCTAAACTACCCAAAACCAAATTGTTCAACTTTCCCGGCCATCTTCGGCCACCGAGAACTCTCCGACAACGACCATGACCATCGGCTCCCCTCTCATTTTGAACCAAACAAGACCAAAATCATAAAATTAAAACTGAAAATTAAGATATTACCTTCAATTGAAGATATTAGAAGAATCTTCAATTTCTAGTGACTACGATGGTAGTGACAGACGACGACGACAATTTATGATAAAAAAATCTCTCCTTTTTCGTTTATTGTTTTTGGAAAACGTGCATTGTTTAATACGTCCTTAATGCCTAATGATTAGGGGGTATTTATATTAGTCCAAATATGGATGAAGTTGTTAGATTTCTAACTAAATTCGGTTATAGATCCATTTGTGTTCACATTGATTTTTGCATTTTCGTTTAATGATGTTTGTTTTCTAATTTTTGCATGATGACGTGGTAGCTTCGGATTCGAGGAGAACACACATGTGCAAGCGATGCTCGGTGGAGGAGCATGAAGCAATTGAAGCTTCTAGAAGGACCTCTCGAAACTGTTGGATCAAGAATTTGATCAATGATTGAGATTAATTTGTGTTTTTCACTTGGATCAATGACATAGTGCAATAAATTACTGCCTAAAATGTTGTGCATCCATCAAATGCAATTCAATGACTTTCAAAGCACACCAACATCTACCAATGAGAGAGGCGATTGAACCTTTCAAATTAGGGTTTCTTGTGTTTGATTAATGTAATCGGCTTTAGGTTTATAAAATATGGATGAGCTTGACATGTAAGTAGACTTTTATTTGTGAAAAGAATTTGGATATGGGATTTGGATTAGTATTTTCATTGGATTTTTTTAAAATTTAATATATTTGGGTTTACATATATTATGGTTTTATTTATATTTAAAATGATTTAGGCATAATGAAAATAAATATCCCTAACGTTTGACAGTATATGTAAATTTGTCTCTATTGTTTTTTTTGAAATATTTGACTACACAACGTTTAATTCTAATTCAACGTCAGTTAACTGACAGTCAATGACTTCAACTGGCTAAGCAAGCATATGTGGATAAAGATAATGATGTGGCGTGTCCACGTCACTAATATATATATTGACGTATAATTGACACGTCAACTTTTTTTTTGTTTAAAAAATAAATTTTAATTAGAATTTCATACTAATAAGAAAACGACACGTGTCATTTTTTTATTGACACGTATTGACAAAAATGAATAAAATACTACTAAGTATAGAGAAGGAGACTCAACCTAGAGTAAGGGTATGAAATGAAATGACGTTGCCACCAGGCATGCTGCTCGATTATTTTGTGTAACAAAATTTTATTTAATCCATAATAATTGTTTAGTTTAATAAAACAAAATGAAACGCGCTATCTCTCAAGAACCCTTGTTTCCTTCTCCTTTGGCCGTCATTTCCACTCCCCCAACCCCAAGTTTACTCTAAATTCTCTGGAGACGGATGGAACCCAAAGATCCCCGCGTCTGAACCGCCTACGAGGGACTCACCGGCGATATTTCTACGCCTAGCAGCCGACAGAAAGGCATTACCCAGGGTAACGAGTCGGGTTCAGGAGACGAAGAAGATGCGGGTTTCGAGAACGAGAGGAATTTTGAGAAGGCTAAAAATGATAATTTGAGCAATGGAGACAAAACCCAGAAATCCAAAAAATGTTTGTTATATCCCCAAGGACACTGAAGGGATGAGTCGAAAGAAGGCATTTTTGGATAATGGGTCGGGATTGGGGGATATACTTGGGAATAAGAAGAAAGGGAAAGTCAAATACAAGTGGGTTTGTGAGATTTGTGGGTACACAAATGGACAGTGGTGGGGAGTTTGCCATTCTTGTGATCTTTCCGGGACGATGAAACATTTTATGGAAGAGGAAACTAAGAACAGAGGGCTCGATTTTTCAGAAACTTTGGTGCGCTCTTGGCTACGGAAGGATGCAGGGGATTTGCTACCAGTAAGATTGATTGAAGTTAGCCGTGGTGTTAAGAAGAGGGATTACCGGATTTCACTGTAAGCACCCAAAAAAAAAAGTTGAAACATTTAAGTTTTTGAAGCATTGTACTTAGGTTTGTATTGATATATGCTTTGTGTATGGTATGCTTCATATGTAGGTTTGGTCCCTTTGGAAGTGAAGTTGCTAGGGTGCTTGGAGGCGGTCTTGTTCCAGATCTGCATATCCAAGGTTTTCTTGAGAATCGGTGATTGTCTACATATTAACATATAAGAAACTTGACAAAGGTAGAAGTTGCAAGGGGAATTACTCTGAAAATACCCATTGTATCTTCACTGGCGAGCATCGGTAAAGTTTTTCCTCTACTTTGATAATTATGTTTTTTTGGAAAGAAATGATAATTATGAATGAAAGGTGAGGAATAAAGTGCTTAGTGTAGAGAGTTTTTCTTATTATGAATCTTTGATGTGAATTCTCTTATAATCAAGTTAATGGTTTAATCTAGTTGAACAACTCTAATTACTTGACAATTCAAGTTTCATTCTTTGGATTGAAAGGACATTTTGAACATTGGTGTTTAGGTCAGCTCATATCGTCAAACTCTACTGGAGTACTGGGTGTAGAATTGGAGACATGCTTTCATATTACTCAACATTATATCAGAATGGTTTTTAAGAGTTATTTACTTTCATTCTTAAATATTGAACTAAATAGTTGCTAGAATAAATCATTTGGTGCTAGAATTATTTATTTATGTGTAAAATCACGTAGTTAAGAGGGAGAAGAAATTACATGTCAAGAGGGGATGAAGAATGTGTTTGATAAAATGTGTGAGTGACATAACATATGTGTTAAATATTTTGTAATGCAAAAGATAAACAAATGAAAGATTTGGCTTGGTGGTTTGGTTCCAAGCATTTGGCCTAGGTTCAACTCTCCACAAAAGCATGTTTTGCTTGGTTTAAATTTAAACCAATATGATGTTGACACGTTTCATCATCTCATTGGACAAAAATATATAAATATTAAGAATAATATTTTAATTTTTATTTAAAAATCTGACGTGGTAGTGACACATCATCATCTATCATGATCTGGACACGTCACATCAGCATCTGGGTCCATGTGTTCTTACTTGGTCAGTATCATGCGTTGATCGTTAGTTGACTAACAGTTTACATCCAACGAAAGTTCTTTTTGACCCATAATGAAATGTTTGGGGGTCAAATGTTCCAAAAAAATAATACATGTAAATTTGACAATATTATTAAACGTTAGGGTTATTTGTTTGCATTATGCCAATGGTTTATACTACTACTAATAATAAACCCCTGGATAAAATGGGTGATGACAACTGTCTCTATTTCCTCATTGGTGTGTAATGGGAATAGAGCACATAAAAAGTACCAATTTTATCGAGCTGGATTGCCATCAAATATTGAGCTCTAAGGTCTTCCTATTATGAATTTTTAAATCTCATATAAAAGCCAATTTTGAAGTTTGAGTGAGCTCTTATATAGGGGTGTAAATGAGTCGAGTCGAGCTTGATTCGAACTCGAAAACTTTATATGTAAGCTCGACTCGAAAACTCGCGAGCCTAAAATTTTCAAACTCGACTCGAACTCGAAAGATAATATTAAAACTCGACTCGAACTCGAAAAGGCTCGAATTCAAAAAAAAATTCAAGAGCTCAACCAAAACCCAAGACTCAAGCTTAATTTTGAGCTCGATTCAAGCTCGAATTTGAGCTCAATTTAAGCTCATTTGAAGCTTGAAACGGGTTAGTTTTCAATTGTTGAAACCCATCCCCTTTTATAGACTCTCTTTACCCCTTATTCCCCAAGAATCATCGATGTGGGATATGAACTACTTTCAAATAGCTCAGCAACTCTTTTGTTAGCACCATCTTCACCTTTATGTTGCCTTTTCCTCCATTTTCCTTCTCAGTAGTTTCACGAATCTCTTATATTTATTCTTTCTTCCACCTGCTGCTTTGATATGAATGTCTTCTCCATACAATTCCCCATGTGTTCTCTTTTCAACCGCATCACTCCAAATCACAGATCCTGTTGTTCCCTCCAAGTTAAGCATCTTTTTCTTCCCTCCAACAAGAGATCATTCCATTGTCAATCCTCCTGGACTCTCTTGTGAAGTTAGGCAGCTTTCGGTAGAACCATCAACCCTCTGAGAAAGTAGACCAGTTGGCATTTCTTCTTGGCCACATGCATTCACGACCTCAGCAGATTGGGCAGAGTAAAATCCAAGTGGATCCACTGAATAATTTCTCAGCATCTTATTACCAACGTCCAGGTTATCTGTTTTGATAACTTCAACTCTTCCGAATAAAATGATCAGCAAGCATCCTGGCAAATCTGCAAGTGTTTTTCAACCTATATAAGACACATAATAACATTAGCCAGCTTGATGATGGTCTTCACACTCTGATCTGGAGGGTTCTATCAAACATATTGAGTAGGGTTTTCCTACAATCAATCAATTATATAAGCCTCATAACAAGTTTCTCCAGATCAGAGAAACTATGGAATTGCACAAGACCCCAGAAACATTCAATATGCACTGCAACACTTTTAGTTACTTCATAGCTACATTCATAACAAGGAAATAATTACAAAAGGAAGAAAAAGATTACCTCAACTTGCAAATGTAATTTACTCTGTACTTTCATATGTGCCCTTAATGCCTCCCTCACCACATAACCCCTGCACGTAAAACTCATTTACATCAAGTAGCTTGAGATTTGAAATCCTAGCAACGAAACCATAGTTTCAAACAAGAGAGGAAAATTCTCACTCGTTCATGTCAGAAGTTGGCAAGTTAATGGTATAGTTATTGGTTCCAGGGCTTTCTAAAAGATATGAACCTGACATCCCTTCATGAAAATGAAGAAAAGAGAATTCAGTCTGTATTTCAATCACATTTGTTTAAATTTTCTTATTTGTTTTAAATGTTCAGGTGTCATTTATGTTATTTTCCATATTATTTTAGCTTAAACCGAATAGGATCAATTGCATATAAGACCCTATAATTTATGCGCATTTTGTATTTAAGTTATTGGTTTAATTCCAATTTTGTAAGTTTAATTTTACATTTACGTGAATTTAATCATCATTCTAAAGTTAATATATTTAGCTTAAATTAGTCCTCACACTTAGATTTCTCTTGATTTAGTCCCTGTTTAGGATTGTTTTCTTTAATTAGTTGTGTATATTTATTTTGCATGTTGATATGTTTATGTATAAGTATGCGATTGATTTATTTAGGAGTCACATAACTAATTTTGCATAATTTGTATGTTACATTCATGTGCATAACTTAATCTCTTATCACATAATCGGATTTAGATTTAGGGTTTAGGATTTAGGGTTTATAGTTTATTATAAAGACATTAATTAAAATTTAAAGGTAGTTGTATTATATAATTTTTAATATATTTTTAAATTTTTATAATTATAAATAGTGTATTTTTAATATATTTTTAATAATGTAATTTTAAAAAATCTAAAATTATAATATAAATTTTTTCGAGCTGCTCACGATCTTTTCGAGTCGAATATCAAGTAGCTCGTTTAGGCTCGTTAAGAACTCGAGTCGAGCTCGAGTCGAGTCCATTCGATTCGAGTATTTATCGAGCCTTGATCGAGTCGATCTCGAGTAGCTCGCGATCTGTCTCGTCTCATTTACAGCCCTACTCTCATATATGAACTCTTCTCATTCCTCGATCGTTTTCTCATTCCTCCATAAGGATCAATGTTGAGATTGAACATGCACTCTTGTATGAACCTATTGCTTCCTCCTTTTTGAACAGACTATTATATGAATTATCTATTCTCCCACAAAGGTCATATTGAAGTCGAACAAGGTGTCATATATGAGCTCCTTTATCCTTCGATTGTTTCTTCATATCTAGAATAATCAGACGAGCTCTCCTGTAACACCCCCAACTCGTATCTGACCCGAATACGAGTCCAAGATGTCACATCAACTTTTCAAACCATTTCCTATATAAAAAATAGAGGAAAATTTCATATATGATTTAAGCATACAAAATAATTTACATATATTACTCAAACATTTACAAAACAATTTAGAGCTTTTACCATTAAATTCTTTAAATACATGCCAATAATATAATACAACAAAAAAGACCTACTGTTAAATTCTTCTGATCTGATCTTTGTAGAAGCTATGTTGTCTCCTTAACTATCTTCTTTGCGAACTTCTCGGATCCTACGTGTGATACACTCACACGCTAAGTCATAGACTTAGTGAGACATGTAAATACATAATGTAAACTAAAAAATGCATGTACATATCATGTAATACACATCATTAACATGCTTATCATTACTTATTTTATTATCATTAATTCATTTCTATCATATGAACATATACCTGACATAAAACATATAATATAAACTCTAAAACACAATAATGCATGAATAATTACTACTATCATATCATAGATAAACACATATCATCTCATATCACAAATACACATATGCACTTATTATTATTATCCTTATTCCTATTATCATATGATCCTAAAATTGTCATTTACACCTGTCATATAGCACAAATACCATTTCTCAAAAGAACACACCTATTATCATAACAAGTTATTTATTATCTTTAAAGCCCATGCATACTTCTGAGAACTTAAGATATGTGAGTACATAGAGGTTGTTCACATATGTTGTCACCACAACTCATAAAATTCCCACTAGGGCGCGTAGAATTTGTCCCGAAGGACCAATATGTCCTGAAAGACCACTATGTCCCGAAGGACCTGTAACACCTAAAACCCATATAACCTAAAACCCGTATAATTATACCTATACAGGTTATAGATGTAACCTGAAATTTCGTAAAATATTTTTTTTTCATTCAAAGTGATTTAAAATTTATTTTATTAAAATGAAAACTGATAATATAAAAATATCATATCATACTATTTAAACTTATATTAATATGGATTTATTCTATCCATATTTAAATAGGGTAAAACCATTTATTTAACCATTACAAACCATTTTCTTTTTTATAATAGTTCAACAAAGCAAATAGAACATTAACAAGTACATGCCACTAACAAAGTCAACATTACATCGTAGGATGTCTTACTGATATTGAAATATACTCCTCGATGCTTGATGTCGCTTTAAACTCTTTACACTACCATTAGCTTTTTACCTACGCGTGAAAATCATCACACGCTAAGTATATACTTATTGAGGCAATTAAAACAATAAACAATGCAATACAACTCATGCATGAATTTCATGGTCAAAATCAAAATGCCAAAAAAATCATGTTACCAGCATATCTAATATTTTACCATGATCAAAATAATATAACTGAATATAAAATTTCTTTCCAATATACTTGCCATTTATTCCATAAGCTCGTAAGCTCATTTGCATGCTTACCATAATAGGGTGTATCACCAAGGTGTATCGATACCCTTTCATAAAATTCAAATTTTATGACCGTTAGGTTGTGTGAACAATGAGTGTATCGGTACCTGTAACAGGGTATCGATACCCCTGTAGCATTCTGGAAATTTTTAAGCATCGATATTGTTCATTACTGCTCACACAGTATCGATATTGTTCATTACTATTCATAAAAACATTTTTTTCATAAATTGTTTTATCAAAACATAGTTCAACATAATCAATAATCATAAACAATAAACAATAACCTAATATAAAACCTTAAGGACCTTGGGTATTTGAGTAATATTTGCACTATAGTGCTACACATAAAGTCGTGCCCACC